AAACATCCTGTATCACCAACAGGATACACAAGAATGTATTAGCAAGCTTTTTCAGTGTTTTAGTTTTTGCATTTTCTTTGACTCAATTAATTACCCAGTCATTGCAATTGTAATTATTCGATTGATCAATCACTCCATCTTACTATAATATGCAATGGTCACATCAGATTTCTATCTATAAAGGATTTATTAACATGTTATTAACATTTTATATATAAATCTACCAATTATTACATATGGGTTAGTGTTGAGGGTCAGATTATGGTCAGGATTATTTATATGCAGTTAATCTACAGTTAAGGTTGTCTTTTATCTCATTGATGTCACGCTATTAATACATTGCACTTGTAAAATATTCATAAATGACATTTACGATCCTTGTCCAAAATATTAACTGTCCAGCTATAGTGTAAGTAAAAATAACTGTTGGTATTAACAATATTTTTGTGAGAATTTATTTGTAACTGCTGTTTTAAATACATTTTTATTTATGAATTAGAATGGGTCAATTTAAAGCAACCATGCATAAGTGAATTTTACCAGCAGCTTTATAGCAAATACTGTGTTTTATAAGACTGGTTTTACTGGCATTTTAAAATTACTGACATTTTAAATTTGCCAGTTGATATTAACATCATACATGTTACATTGTTGGTTGATATGCCTTTAAACACATTCTTTATAGATTCCTTTCCATAGTTAAAGGTGCTAAAATTAGCTAATTAGGAAACAAGACAAGCTGCTTTCCTCTTATCATCTCGGATGCAGCGCAGTCTCATGAGTCCCTCAGGCACAGTTTACAGGTGACCCTGCTCGCTAATCCCAGAGCCTGTTTCGTTGATCTTTCTGTTCTGCACTTTCTCAGCTGATACAGGCTTATGTTGTTGCTCTTTTTTTAATTGATGTGGAGCTGGACTTTCCAGCAGTGTTCCTTTCAACACAGTGGAGAAAATAGTTGTGACTATGTACACTACAGACATTGTTTTCAATAATTATGGGTAATAATGATAACGCCATTCAATACCCAGAGGCTGGTGAGTAAGTTTTGCTGAATTGGAATCTAGTGAAGTCTCAGTGGCAGTTAATTACCTTTTAAAGGGAAGCAAGTTGTTTTAAAATAAACCCTGAAAACACAGAACACTAGATGATTTGTAAAAGAAAAAAGGAACATTTGAGTCAGGTGATAAGGTCAAAGGAGAGTTCTTAAAAGTAAATCTTGTTACAGTAGTTGCAGTTTTATGTCATTCCTTTTCAGTAATATCTGAATTCTGACTTTAGCTCTCTTTAACCTGGTTTGCCACTGACTTTCAAACTGCTCTCCACCATCTTTTTTACAATATGGTCTATAAGTAGACTGGTTTAATGGAACTGTGATCTTTATAATAGATTAGCCTCTGCAGGCATGCATATTAGATGTATTTTTAATAGATTGAAAGCTCTTTTCTGTTCTGATGAGCATATTCTGGATTTCAAAACCCAACTGTATTACATTATCATTGTATCGGCTCACAGCTTACTGGCCAACAAAAGCAAAGTCTTTAAAAGCTAAAGAAATTCTTACCTGTTTAGTTTGTCTGGTTTACTTTCAATGAAAATTTTCATTGAAAAATACTTTTATTTCCAATACAAATTTGAAGCCTTGTGCACTGTTCCTCCCCACTACCCAAATGTATATAACCTTGTAGTTACTGAATGTAAAGCTGAACTCTGTATTACTCAGTTGGCTTCACAGGTAAGTTTTTTTCCTATTCCTCAAATGCACAATAAATTAACTTGTTTTTCAAAGCTGAGAAGAATATTAAAAACATGCACAGTATAATGGTGCATTTCAGAGATCTGACTTGAGCACTGTAGACAAAATTGTGAAGCATTTCCTTGGAAACGAAGTCCCTGAGGAATGAGAAAATAATTGGAATAATAGAAGCTTTAACCTTATCAACATATACCGTTTAGCCGAACAGACACAATGCAGTTTCTTAACATTATTGAGGGAATTGAAGATCTATTTTTTATCACATTTTAAATGCATTTGGCATACCTTAAGGTGCCTGTGAAGTTACAAATTCTATGTGTTAACAGGTTTCTGTGTGATCTCTTAACTAAGTGCTGTTATTTGCCCTTTTTCTCCTCTAATGCCTTACAAATATTTTTGTTTTCCTTGACATAAATAGATAGATCCTTTATAAGATTAAA